TGGGGTCGTGACGAGGCCATTTGGAACCAACATATTATTTCAAGTGTTTGAAAGACCGCTGACGTTTGTCAAGAACGGCAACATCCCAATCAGCTTCGTGGTTCCTAGTGATGAACCTGGGCCCAGGAATGCATGGGGGCGAATCTAGGAAAGATCATCGCTAAATGCAGAAACAAGGATCCTATTTTAGATACTTCGATCGTGATGCAGATGTGTTGGGAGTCGATCTGCAGTTGTCGAGACAAGCGTGGCAGGATTGTATTGTTCCGTTGCTCGATATTTACGCAACGCGGTATGGTGGTAGTGACGGCACTTCTGAAGACTTTGTCATACCATTGGAAGCTCCCTGGCCCAAGAAAGTGTGAGTAGTTCGTTTAGGGCTCGTCCTGGCTCGCAATAAGTAGTATTAGCCTGGAAATATGATGTTTGCGTCAAGAAGTGTAGTATCATTCACTTTATGCAGCTACCGGCGTTTCATTCAGCTCAACCTAAACATGACCCTGGCTATTACTTCGAAGTAGTAAAAACAAATGAATAGGATTGTCTATTAGCATTATCCTCGCAATTTTTGGTTTCACGAGCACGTTATGCGTCGTTGCTCGCAGATAAACTCGTATTCTTACTCGTCAGGAGGTAACTGGGGCCAAGTTGCGAGAAAATACTTGCGGTGGATTCACACGGTCTTACTATTGCACGACCCTCCTTGTTAGATCGACAGCTCTGATGCGACAGATGGGATTCGTGGAAGCTTTAAACTTCCCTGACCCCGGCAAAACATCGCTGGCTTGTCTGCAAATGGGCCTTACATTTACAGACGGCGGCGTTCCTCGTGTTCTCATGACTAATGACTACTTATACTACTTAAGTATACATTGATCCATGGAGCACATGTATCTAACGATCAGGGTGTTTACTGGTGTGTAGCATCTTTTTGAACCGGCTAGAACTACTACTATATTTGAAAAAAAAGTTGTAACCTGCCAAAAAATGGATGTACACATTTGTTCTGAGCTCTAGCAATACTCGTAAACTACACTGAAACAGTATGCAGGATATTCACCGACGCTAGAGTGTACATCATGGGGTTCCAGAACAGAAAATTTTAATCTTGCCATACAAGCGGGCTATTTATGCAGGTGTTGGCCGAGATGAAGCGTAGCCCGCCTCTCTTCGCTAAGCGAATGGTAATACTGGGAATTCGCAAAGCGTAACTCGCTCGATGTTATCTCACTCAACATTCAGCTGACCTCAAAATGTAAGCTGAACGTTGAGCAAAAGTAGCATGTTTAAAGCATATTTTGGAGTCGGGTTGTCCGTACTTGATAGTTAAGGGCTCTCGGTCTGTGGTCGCGAACTCTCGCAGGAGTACTAGCCATGCAATTTCTCTTTGTGGACGTGTAGAAGTCTAACCTGCTTGGACTCGCGAGGACTTAACATCTGCCGTGCATCCGGCGGGGCATTTCGTGAGTCAAAGGAGAAGAGTGACCACCCTATCGCTTCAAAAGGTTCGTTCATACAACGTAACCAAAGTAAAACAGTCTAAACTAGCCACGAAGGTAGCCTAAGCGCAGAGTATTAAATCTTTAAGAGGAGGACATAGTGAAACACTAGCAGGTAGAACAACGTTTTGTGGAATCTGTTCATCAACGCATTTTGCAGTCAGTTTGACCCAGTTTCACCCTTACAGATGGTATTGCGCCTCGAGCCGATGAAGCATGCGAACTTCGTATGCTTCCCCTGCGAAGCAAGCACGGGCACCCAATGGTCAATACGAGGCCAACTTAAAGCATGATCTACTTGTACTAGCCGCAGGATCACCGCATTTGCAAGATGGTTTGCAAGGCAAGTTGAAATTTCTTTTTTTTAATCTATTATTGAATATCTCTAAATGGCACGCCATTTGACCTTTTTTGCTACTTCATTGGCGCCGTGTTTCGGCCCGTGAACAACTTACGAGATCTTACTAGAATGTGCAGCAGTAAAGATTTTATATATGGTTGAAAAATAATAACTGGAAAGTATTATTTTATGCCCGATCAAATAGGCTTGCAATGCTTCCTGCGATCTGATTCGTTCTATTTTTTTTTTTTTTGCTACCCGGGTTGGCCCCTCGAATGAAGTTTGGGACTTGTGCTGCATGTCTAAAAATTGTTGGACTGTCGTTTTTCAAGGAGTGTGGCTTACTGAAGCCGTTGTTCCTTTTTATATAGTTTGTTTCCCTTATTACCAGAACAGGTATTGTCCATTGGTCCGCTAGCATCTTGGTGGAGCCTGCAGAATCAAGGGCTCTACTAACACACAGTCACGTTGTACTAAGTGCATTCAACTACATGTACCCACGTGACCGAATCACTGATATTTATTCTAGTAGCTTTCGCTACGAAAAATATGTGTATTCCTAGCTAAGTTGAAGCCAATCTAGTTCTGGTTAGACTGAACGATTATTTTTTAGACAGTTGTAGCCACATCACTTTGCTCGTCGGAGGAGTCTCCTGGTGTAAAAGAGAAGGGTGTCTCCGTCACGGATGAGGCAAATAGACTAAAGGCAAAACTCTTCTTCGTGATCCTAAAGCTCGAGTCACGTCCAAAGTAGTAAAAAAAATTAGGCTTCATCGGTTCAACATTCGTGGCAGCACAATGCTCTTGTTCAGTAATGGCTGTTCCCATAGTTAAGCACCCCAGAATAGGAATATTTGACTTCAAATGTATTCCATTTTACAACTGAGATGTGATAGGGAATACTAGTAGTATCTTGGGTTTATTTGTAATTGGTCAACGGGAACCGCTTATTTATTGCTGTTGAGGGGGTATTCCAATCCAAGGGATTACTACCGAGGGGATCGTCTGGACCCGGATAATACAGACGCTGTTCATATCGCTTTGAATGTGGCTATAGTATTTGTTTTTTTACTGGTATGAATCTAGTACCAGATTTTTCGAATAGTTGGTACCCCAAAAAGAAATCAAACGGAATGGCCGTGCTCTTCAGTGTAGACTCATTCAACCAGGGCGATGAGAAAATGAGAGTTTATATGTATATATCTTAGACAATGTTGTTGACCTCCTCCCACTTTAACGGCTTTTGATGTCGATTTCTGAATAATTTTAAGTATTTGTAATCCTTATGTTGCAAGAGCGCATCATTTTTCAACGGCACATTCCACTTTCCAGGTTCAGTCATTCCCAGCAAAATTTTTGCGATGTCTTCTCTCATGTCTAGCTTGGCCATTATTAAGGTTCTCGCTGTTTTCTCCGCTTCAGTAGCGTCAAGACTGGCCCTCACGGAGGGTATTGGGTACCAAATCGGCATCAATGAGTCCACCTCGTTCTGCACCTTACGGTAGAAAGTAGTAACGTAACGCTCGTAGGCTTCGAATTCCGTGGTACCAACGATCTGCTTCA